CTGATGGGCATTGGGGCTGTTTCCAAGCTTTAGCTGTTACAAACTATGCCACTATAAACATGGGTGCACATATATCGCTGTGGTATGATTCTTTTAATTCTTTGGGGAAGATACCCAGCAGGGGAATAGCTGGGTCAAATGGGACCTCTAGCCCTAGTTCTTTGAGGTATCTCCATACTGATTTCCACAGTGCTTGCACCAGTCTACACTCCCACCAACAATGGAGAAGGGTTCCTTTCTCCCCACACCCCTGCCAGCATTTGTTATTGGTTGATTTCTTGATAGCAGCCATTCTTTGTGGGGTGAGGTAGAATCTCAGTGTTGTTTTCATCTGCATCTCTCAAATGTCAGTCTGAAAATATTAAATGGAAACTTCCAGAACAATTCCTAAGTTTTTAGTTGCATGTTGTTCTGAGTAGAGAAATGAGATCTCACGCTGTTCTGATCTGCCTGAGACATGAATCACCCCTTTTTGCGGTGTATTCACACTGTATACGTTACCTGCCCATAAGTCACCTACTGGCTGTTATTAGATTGTCATGGCACCGGAGTACTTCTATTCAAGGAACTCTTGGATAATATCTTATTACCTGCATCATTTATCTCACTTCATTCTATCATGAAGGCAGTGTATCATATCACATTACAGGAAGAATGAGTACAATCCAAGATATTTTCAGAGGGAGACCACATTCACATAACTTTTTACTACAGAATATTCTTATAATTGATTACTTTCCCATTAGTTGCTGTTGCTAATCTTTTAATAAGCCAAATTTATAAATGAATCTTTCTCATAGGTACGTATGAATCTGAAAAATAGTACCTACAGGATTCTGTACTATCTGCAGTTTCAGGCATCCACTGAGTATCTTAGAACATACACGTGTGTATATGAGGGGACTACTGTGCTATGGGAAAAAAGACTTCAAAACTTTTCAGTAAGATTTTCACAGATAGAGGCAGACTTTCCTTGTGATTCATAAAATACTTCTGAAAATATGCTTGAAAGAAGCATAAGGAATGATTCCATTCCCAAATATAAAAATCTCTTTTGAGTCTATAAATCCCTTTGTCACACACTTGTCACCCTGACCTCCTGTCCTCTACCAAGATGCTAAGATGGAAGTGAAAATAGGGAAGTCAAACCTCTAAGAAATATACATTCATATCATTTTGACCTAATTGATCCAGTGCTTCTAAACTTCTTTTGAATCTAATCCTATGCTAGTTTGCAGATTCATTTTTCCTAAGCATTGCTTTGGTTTTGGGTAATTAATTTTCTTTGCTAGGAGTTTGAAAAAGAAAAAAATGATCATTTCAAAATTTTCCTTGCCTTTTGCTACCTGGGTCTCCCCAGAGCTCCTGCGCAGCTGCTTGGTGGGTGTGGGGAAGTGACTGGGGGGAAGACCCTTTTTATTTTTTAATTTTTAATAAATTTTATTTTATTTTATCCCATTTCCCCCCAAGCCGCCTCCCCTCCCTATGTACAGAAACTTTGTTCCCATTTTTTTCCATTTTCATGGGAAGTCCCTTTGAAAAACAGTGGACTTACTCTCCTTTAGCAAAGGGCATTTTTTTCTGATGGAACTGTTCCCTGGAATGTCTAAGGCTTAAAACTATCTCTTAGATAAAGTGGCTTATTTTCAGCAGACAGTTATTCTTTTCTTGAGCCCTGGTTTTGGGAAGGGGAATCCCAAAGAAAACATACCCTGCTTTCCACAGAATCATTTAGAGAGTCATAGTGGGAAGATGCAGCGGTACTATCAACAAACATTTATTAGTTTAATCTCTAAGATGGTTTTGGAATTCAGTTAATCATTATAGAATCAGCTAGGCAGACTTGCTTAAGGTGGGGTTTTATTTCTCTAATCATAAATAAAAAGTTCAGCCCATCTTTAGTTCAAGGTCCTCTTGGAGGATTTTCAAAGGAAACTAATCTGTAAAGCATGGAGCAGGAATGCCTTATAAGAAGGAACAAGTGGACGAGTTGGCTCTGTATGTGCTGCTCATATAAATTAGAACTAGTCAGTGATAAATAACAAAGACAAATCATTATTTCTGATTATTGAATACCTTCATCATATAGTTGTCACTTTACAGATACAGAATTCATGGGAAAGTAATTTATAAAGGGATTATTAAATAAATATTCCACAAAACAGGTAACTGTTGACAAATGTATCCTGGTTTCCATTCTCTTAAAGCCAATGTTTTGGGATCATTATTTTTTTGGTACAAGGAATGAAATTCAGAACGTTGCACTTGCCAGGCAGCCATAACACCACTGAGCTCCATCCCTGGGCCCTGGGGATCATTCTTACAGTATGAGTAAGCAGTTATTTAACAATCAAATGGGGTCATTTTATTGCCTATACTCTGTCCTCCATACACTGCTCCAAGGAATGAGACCACATAATCCCTCTTATTTCCTCAGCATCAGCATACGTTATCTCTATTTTCCCCTCCCATCAAAAGCAGCTTTAGAGAAACAATCCGATGAACTGGGTATAAATAACTATTCAGCCTTAAAATATTAGCTTTCTCAGGATTATGAAGTTTTGCTAGAGAAATAAACTCAGAGGGATAAAACGCCAAGAGCCAAAGTCGAGGTGCTTTGGGAAGGCGTTTTGGTGATAAGACTTTTTTAGCCTGAATGGTCCCAAGTATGAGTTAAAAAAAAAAAAAAAGCTAAGACCAGGGCAAATCTTAGTCTAGAGGTGTTATTTAGTCCTACTTATTCAAGTTTGGAGAGTTAGGTTTACTTGAACCTATACTACTGTATATCCCAGTTCTGGGAATTGAATCTATGGTGTCACAGTTTTTAAAAGGGGTCTTGAATCAACTTGAGACAAGAAGCAAGACCAGAATCCCAGAATCCAGTGGAGATACTCCACCCTGGGACGCTGAGTAGAATGGTACTTTCAGTTCAGAGCTATGCTACTGAGTTCTAATGAGGCTCATACCATTTTGTGAGAGTGGAGTAAGATATTTCTCATTACCATAAAAATGGCTTGTATAATTCACTAGCTTTCACACTGTGGTTAAGATTCATATTCACTTAAGATAAGCATCAAGCTTCGTATTAGTATACCCGCCTGTCATTTCCTAGCTTCCAGTTAATGCTATTATCTTTGATTCAGCCCTGAATATACCTGAACGTTCTGGCATTATCTTCAACTTTTGCTGTATGCTAAGGAAATGTTAATTCCAGCAGTTTTGGATGTACTTAAAATACTCCCACCTCTTTTCCAAATAACTTCAATATCTTTGGAGTTATTTGGTTTGTCACTAGCATAGAAGTCACTTAGGTAAATCATTCCCTCGTGAGGACTTTACGAAGCTTCTTTTTGGATCCAAGCCAGCAATCATCTGTAGGGTATACAGCTCTTTGCTCAAACTTGGTAATAAATTATCGCTGGAATACAGGAGGAAGAACTGAACCAGTGACTTCAGGGACCCAGAGGCTAATTAACATCAGTGTACACAGTTAAGTACACCAGAGTGGGGGTGGTGTATGGTTTGCTCGGTGTCTACTCTTCCTTCTCTGGGTAAAACAAGGACGTCTTGCCTGTTAACATATTTAAAACAAGAACTGCAAAAACTGTGCAATGTTATGGTTGAGGCTTTCTAAGCCATATGTGTTGACAGAATGCTTAGGAGTCTCTCCGAAATAAACGCAAACCCTGCCAGGCTGAACGATCCTGCCAGCGCAATTCAACGACTGCACCGCTGAAACCGCTGGGGCTGGAAGCCTACATCGCATTCGCATTCGGAGGGGATCCAATGTTTCCCCTAACAAAGGCACTATCTTGAGGCAATTTCGCGGCCCATTTCTCCCCTCCCAGCGCCAGCTTTGTCTCCCCGCCGGTGCGAGGCTGCCATTCGGAGAGGTTCCAGCTGCAAGGTTGCGAGAGCAAGCTCGGGGTCGGGGCCCGCGTGGGAAGCTCTGTCGAGCTGTTGCGGCGGCTTCCTGCAACCTGAGCGAGCCATTAGGGCAAGTTGGAGCGCAGCAGCTGAAAGAGATACCTGCTGCCTTTAAATCGGGGCTGGACTGGAACAACCTCTTCGCAGCGATTACTGTCGTACAAAGAAACTCGATAGGCCGAGGCGGTAGAGGACTTGCGGGCGGCCCCTCACGCAGGCCGGCGTCGTCTACGCTCCCCCTCGCTCGGCTCAGGGCCAGGCCCGGGCCTCCCGCCGCGCCTAGCATGCGCCCCCTCCCTCCGTTGCCCCTGGCCCGCCGCCGCCGCCGCCGCCGACGTCGGCCCGCACCGCCCCCGCGCGCTGACTGGCTCGCGCCGGCCCTCGGCCCGACTGTTGGCGGTTGGGGCGCAGCCGGCGGGAGGCCGCCCCGCCCTCCTCGCGGAGTCGCCGCGCAGCTTCTTCCCCCCTCGCCGCCGGGGCGGTGGCGCTGTTGTCGCCGCGGCCTGCGAGGCTGTAACTCCCCTCCGCCGTGTACCTCCTCCTTTCTCTCTGCTCCCTCCTCCCCTCCCCTCGCGGTCTCTCTCTCTCTCTCTCTCTCTCTCTCTCTCTCTCGTGAAGGTGGCGCGGCAGCGCGGTACGAAGCCTCGGCCCCTGCCGCGGCCCCGTGAGCTCCTGAGGCCGCCAGCTTGCCGCCAGCCCCCAGCTCCTGGGCTGCTCGCGGAGGGACCGCGGCGGAGAGACGGGAGAAGGACGAGCGGGTTCGAGGGCGAGTGGAGAAGGCGGGGACAGAAGGACGGACGGCCCGGGGAGGGGGCCGCCTTCGAACCTGCCCGGCCCCTGGGCTTCGGCTCGGGGCGGCGGCCGCGACGCGGGCGAAGGGCGCGGCAGGCGGTATCGAGACAATAACCTCGCCGCCCGGCTTTGGGGGCGGCGGCGAGGAGGCTGTGGCGGCCTAGTGCGGCCGAAGCTCTCCGCGCTCCAGGGCCGCGTCTGGGCACCCCCGGGCCGCGTTCCGCCGCCGTCGGGAGTGCGCGGCACGCGGGCCGCCAGGAGCCCGGGGTTCTCGGCGGGCGCCCCCTCCCCTCCACCTTCGCGGCGTGCGCCGGGCTGGTTTTCCGGGTTCCCCTGGACGGAGTTGGATCCTGGTTTTCGCCAAGGCAGGAAGTGAGTTTCGCACGGCAATTCCGGGCGGTGTCACGAGTGAAAAGTTTTTTTTTCCTCCGGCGGAGATCCTGGTTGGGGCTGGGAAACTCCTGCAAAACTCGAGACCAGGAAGCCAGCCCTCATCCCAGCCCCCACCAGAGCCACCTACTCGTACTTCTGGAGGCCACTCCACATCCGCTCTCACCGTACTGAGAAATTCGGCTGGATCCCTTTATAAGTGACTCACGGAGGGAAGGAAATCATGTCAAGCGGAGCCTTGAAAAAGCTGCCCTGAGACACTGTCCGACAGAAAGGTAATTATACGAAAAGTGTCTGGAAGTCACAAAGTTCATGGTCCGGAAAGCGGACGGTACTTTATAGTGTTTTCCATTTTGCCGAATTGCCCTAAATTGTTCTTTTTTCGTACGGGAATGGATTTTATTTTGAGAGCTAAATACTAGAACTGATTTTCACCACCTTTTACCATCTGGACTTTAGGTTTGTTTTTTTTTTTAAGAGGTTCTAAGAATGTGGTGGGACGAAAAGTTTTCAGCAACTTGAATAAAGAGTGCCTTTGTTCAGCACAAGGTCCAGATATTGTAGTTTTCCAGGACATACACAATGTATGTTAGATTGCTGAATATGGCAACTTTTGTTTTGGGAGAAAGTTAGGTTGCTGCCGCGGGTGGTTTTCTGCCTTTGACATGGCTGCCACATTTATGTCGATTGCCGATTATTTTGTTTTTTGCGGTAATCATACATGGTGATGTTTTTGTTCAGGCCCTTATAAATATTATTTAGTTATATTTTAGAAACAAAATTAGACATTCTTAGTTGTTTTTCTGAGCGGATAATGGCTTTCTTTTGTTGTAACTATAATGCTAATGCTTGTTTGAGTAATTGAAAGCAAGTACTGTGGCGTATTGTAACTGATACATTAAGAAAAGGAGGTTGTAAGTATTACACATGGGCGTGAGTTACAAAGCAGCACACACCTGTAAGTAGTTGATTTGTTAGGATTTCTATGCAATTCAGAACAAATTATATTAGAAAGTAAAACTAAATTTAAAATGATTTTTGTGGGAATCGCATCTATTGTGTTAAGCTGTACTTTTGAATTGCACCTTCTTTATTTTTGTTTTGGCCCATCTGTTTTTGTTTGGTTCTGCTTAAAAAGTGATAGGTACTCAGTGTGAGGGCAGGAATTCATGAAGCCTGGCAGACATTCCACCACCAGTCAGAGTTATGAACCCTGCTGAACCAATGGGTAGTCTTCACAGAATAAACTAGTTTTGATTGCAGCAAACCCACACTTTTTTCCGTGGTGTTGTGGTGTCTTTTTACAATTTAGTTTTTCTCCAGTACTTTTGTGGTAAAGAGGGATGAAAGATAATACTGTACCTTTGCACAGATATTAAATAAATATGGTATTCTGTTGGTTTATATACTTTGATGTTTATTTTAATCAAATGCTATCCAAGTAATTACCGGGAATCTGAGGAAAAAGTTTATTTTCTTTGGTTGAAAGAGAAAAGGTACGTGTTAAAGATCACAATCACATTATTTCACAATTTGTTTTTTGCTGCTTTATTTTTATAAGTATATTTAAAGAAGAGGATCTTTTAACGATTTATTACTGCCTGTTTTTTGTTTTGTTTCTAGAGCTTGTTCTCTGAAGATTTTTCTTTTTAAACTCTTGGTAAGATTTGTGAACCATCAAGTAATTCCTGTTACGTAAAATTACCTTTATCAAGGAATATAAAGTGCATAACGTCTACTTTTATGATTTTGGGACACATCATTTGGAAGCAAAAGAGGTTATTCTTGGGGATCTGAAAGAGGGGAATAAAATAAATGGCATTGAACTTCAATTTCCTTATATGGATTATACTTGGCCTCAGAGCAACAAAGCCTTAATAGAGCAAGTCTTTTACAGAGACTTACAACTTTTCAAAGATGGTTTCTCTGAATTAGTAAATTTTATATTATTAACATATTCTAGGACTTGAAAAAGACTAAATCCCTGTTTTTAGAGGCCATTTCTTTTTCTTGAAGAAAGAGTAGTGTTTAGATTCTGATAATATATTTTTAAAAGTGAGGTGTTCACCTGTGTAGTTGTGTTTGGTTCTTTTTTCTCACCTTCAGTAATGTTTTATTTTGTGGTTTACTTAAAATTCAATTTAGCACTGAATTAATGAATTTTAGATTGAATGCTACCATAGAACTATAAATACTGTCAGTCTTATTTAAAATTTTTAGGGTGTGCTTTTTGTTAATTAAGTGATAATTATAGAGACATTTTGCATTTGTTATTAGTAAATCTAAAATCCTGTTTAGACATCCTTGTTATCTAGCTAAGATAATGCATTTTAAAATTTCAGAAAAATAGATGCATATTTAGGCATTTATTTGCATTTTTTGTACCGTGATTGCACTTTTAGGCATTTATTTGAAATGATTGCTAATAGATAATAGGATGTAGAGTGTAAGCTGCTTTTGTTGTAGAAGTAGCTTATGGCAGTATTTAGGATTATGTAGAATTTAAAAGATTTTGGATAGCAAAGTAATTTTCTTTTTTTGTAATTGGTGTTTAGCCCAGTTCTTTATAAATACCCTCTGTTGCTTGCATCTTCTTTTTTTTCTTTTTTTTTTTTAATTAAATTCTTTTATTGGTACGTTGTAGGTATACAGCACAATTACATTTCTCATTGGGAATTGTACCTTTACATAATGCATCTT